AGAGTTTACATGTTACAACAAAATAAAGAAGAAAAAAAAACTTATCTTAGCCAACTAATAATTTAGCATTCTAAATGTTTTCTTAATTTCTACACCATAGATATAACATAGAATAGTGTTTGGGTAGGAAATTCCGTGCATGGTGAGTTGCTAAGACTGAAGTATTTAGGGATGGTTTTACAAAGCCAACAGAGACTTCCCACTGCAAGGCACTGCCTGCAGCATGAAGAACATGTATTAGGTAGAGTTTGGGGAACAGTTCCTGACTACTGAAATGCATGTTAATTCCAAATGTGTGCATAGCAAATGCAGTTTGTTTTTACTTTAGCAAGATATTTTTGTTCTAAAAAGTAAAAACAAATATTCTGAAATTATGCCCAGAATTTTAATCTTAAAATTTACATTATGTTTATGTATGAGCACCAGGCACGTAGCCTCCCGTTCAAATCTTTTCTGGATAAACGTTGCTCTTACTCTCATTCTAAAATTCATATGCGTTTTCAAAAGAAACTTGGAGCTGGCTTCTCAGAATGCAAATCTTTTCTTAAAATGCACTGGAGGTTTTGAAACATAATTCAATTGTAGTTCAAATTTTATGGGCAAATGGTCAAAAATATGGGGTGGAGGGGCAACAAGCCTATGTATCCTACACCTGTAAGCCACAGAGAAGTGTCTATTGACAAACAAATCTGCTATAGCTCTCATCTTAGAAATGAGAAAACAAACTATAAAACTATTTAGCAGTTATAGCCAACCAGGGAACACAGTGAGATTTTGGGTAGCCTTTTCTTCCAACTTTCTTTCCCCCCTCACCAGGAGTGAGATGCATTTCTTAGTGGCACTACTCCATAGTGAATACTGTACTCTCTCCTACGTGGAATCAGGGACTTGCACAAACTGTGAACTACAGAGCAGTAGCCCGGTGCTGACACTGTGGTGACCCCTGAAGAGAGAGTTGCTCTCCAGGTGCCTGGCAGCCTGAGCACTTGCTGTAGTTAGCACCAGTGGTAACGAAATGTAAACACCTTTACTTTCCAGCTGCTGCTAATTGGTTTGGGAATATTTGTGTAAGTGTTGATTTTAAAGCTAAAAATAGTGCAGTGCTGTTTAAATCCAACTCATTCTGGCTGTCATTAATGCTCTCACAATCCTGAAAGTGTTGCTAAAAATGTCCACTCTTTTTAAAATGTAGTAATTAAGCTTGTCTTTTTGCAAGGGCCACATATATGTTGCCTGATGTGATGGAAGCTGTGATGGATAGTCTTAGAGTAGCCAAGCATGGTCGCCTCTTCAACATTGCTGGGAAAGAAAGGGTCGTAACATGGGAAAACAAGACAGGCTTTACAACACCATCCTCTTTACATTCCAGGCAGCTCATCTTGACCCATGAGTTTAATATAGCATTAAAAATAGGAATTACAATCACTTTCTTTTAGAAATTAAATATAGACAATATAGAGCATTGTATTGCTATTTCTAGAGGCAAGTTTCAGGATTTTTAAATCACATAATTAATATTTATCCAAGCTGGAGTTAAGGAATATGGAGGCTGTTTAGCATCCATTATGTCGACCTTTTAGTTAATCAGAGTTATTTTTGCCTCTTCTTCCAAATTTAAAAGTCAAGATTTTACAGATTTTTCTCCAAGTTATTTAAATAAGCTATGAGGGAAAAAAATTCTCATTTTCATTTTTAGATAGGTGTGAGTTCGTGACTCTTCATTTCATCATGTAATGGAGTAAAAGAAAAGCTGGTGTGCTTTAATCATTTTGTGTCAATAATTCTGAAGTTTGAGGGTAAAATGATTTTTTTTAATGTGATAAGATACAGCTGATTTATCCTAAGTTTTCAAGTATTGCAATGCTAGCATTGTCAGAGTCAATTGCATTGGCTTTATGTCTTTGTGGAGTGCCTCTAGCATCTACCTTCCTGCCTCATCCCTAGAGAATACTAAAGGATTCTGATGTTGCAATATACAGAAGTGGTTTTGGCAAGTGACAAACATGGCCTGTTAGCTGAGATGATGTGCTGTAGTTTTTGCCTCTTTCTCTATGGTAGTTGTAGCAAGGCAAAGAGGATTTTGATGCTGTTATCCAAGACATACATGTATAGGTGTGCTTGCAAAGACACCACCATTTGAGCAAAGAGGTGGCTTACAGAATTGATGGGGGGTGAAACTTACTCTCTATGTATGTATGTATGTATGTATGTATGTATGTATGTATGTATGTATCTAGAATATACAAAGAACTAGAAAAACCTGAACCACATGAAAACAAATAACCAACTTAAAATCAGTGTCTAGAACTAAGCAGAGAATTTTCAAAAGATGAGACATAAATGGCTGAGAAAAACTTTAAACCCATCAACAACCTTAGCTAACAAGAAAATGCAAGTTGAAAACACTTTGAGATTTCCTCTTGCCCCAGTCAGAATGGCCACCATTAATAAAAGATGAATGAAATTTTCAGGTTAAATGGATGAAACTAAAAATAACCATCCTGAGGATGATAACCCAGGCCCAGAAATGAACACTGCATGTATTCTCTTATATGTGAATTTTAGCTTTTAAGATTTAGATATGTGTTTTATTTTAATGATCTGTGTGTGGGAATGTGTGTCCACAAGTCCACAAACACATGAGTGTAGAACACATACTGTTTCCCAGGTCTGGAGGTTAGGCAGTTATACCCCATCTCACATGGGTGCTAGGACTTTACCTTGCATCCTCTATAAGAACATCAAGCACTCTTAACTGTTGAGCATGTTTCCAGCATGAAATGTGTTCTCTTTAAGGTGTAGTTGTTGATATGATTACTCTCAAAATGTAGTCATCTCAGAATTTCTCTTGATCAGATTATCACACTACAATTGGCCCTGTATTAATTTCAAATTGTAATTGACATTTCCATATTTATTGTACATTAAGTATAGTGTTTATGTAAATAGAGCCTTTACTTGTCATATAACTAAAGCTAGATAGAAAACTCCTTAATCATCAGTAAATTAATTAGAGCCAGAAAGTATATTCTTTCCCTGTCATAGTTAGGGATCAATAAGAAAATTCCACATGGAAGAAAGAGAAAACAAATGAGATAGAGAACTAAAACTGTATACTGAATACTTTATATTTTTTTGGCATCCTGGTGATTATACACACACACACACACACACACACACACATAAATGTTGGTGGATTGGAGGGATGTATATTGTTAAAATGGTGTTAAGATGTATAGATTAAATGCTTTCTCTATCAAATACTCAGTGGTTGTTGAAAATGACAGACATGCTGCTTCTAAAATTGATGGAGACATGTAAGAGGCCCAGAATATTGAGCCAACATGGAAAACAAAATGAGTCTGGAAGAACCGCACGTCATGATTGCAATGCTTAATGCAAATCTAAGGCAGTCAGAACTGTAAGGTGCAGGCATGAGGATGGTCGTAGTTAAATGAACAGAATTGAAAAACAAGACTAGTGATAATGTGATCCTTCACATCTGGAGATGTTCTTGTCATTCTGCAGCATCAAGGGCATGGGTACCCCAGCTAGAAGATTGTAGTTTCAGGCCTTCAGACATCTGGTTTATAATCTCATCTTAGAACTTCCCTGTTCCTGCTTCTCAGAAACTAGAAGAAATAATGAATATCTTTTAAATCCATAAAGTTCTGGGGGTAGTTTCTTATATAGCTTTTAAAAGACAACATAGTAGACTCTGGATGTCTCTGAGAACCACACACAAGGCTCACTGTTCTACAGACAGAGAAAAAGCTAATGACCTGGGCATAAATATGCTTATCAAATATCTTAACATGAATGATCATCAGACTTCTGTTAAATCCATGTAGGTATTTTTTGTTTGTTTGTTTGTCCAAATTCTGCACTGTTTGTTGTGTTTGAAATTATCAACCCGTTCCCAAGGATAATATGGACATTAAAACTTTCAGATATTTATCTCTTCAAAGATGGTTTACCTTAAAATATTAAGGGTTCTTAAACTTTATAGATTATGCTTCCTTTTATTTATCCATGTGGAGACTAGAAATTGAATTAAGAAGAATATATCTCACAAAAACACATACAACTGTTAGAAATGTTGCTATCCATTTAAAATGAAAGATGCCCTTTTTAAAAAAAAAAAAAAAGAAAGAAATTCAGTTTAGGGAGCTAGAGAGATGGCTTAGAATTTAAAAGCACTTTTTGCTCCCAAAGAGGACCTGGTTTGATTCTGAGCACCCATTCTTGGTGTGTTCACAATCACCCATATCTCTAGTTCCAGGGGATCCAATGACTTCTTTTGACCTCAGTGAGCACCAAACACACATGGTTCACATACAAGCGTGGAAGCAAAACACTCACACAAAAATAAAATTAATAAATCTAATAAATAAATGTTAAAAAAATAATCAGGAGAATTGGGCATGGTCACATTTCATGACTCAAATCCCAGTATTTAGGAGGCAGAAGCAGGTGGATCTCTGAGTTTGAGGCCAGCCTGATCTATAGCAAGAGTTCCAGGATGGCCAGGTAACAAACATTTTTTTCTCCACACATTTAGTTTTGTCCATACATTTGCTCCCCCCCACCCCCTTACATTGCATTATGCTAAGTGCAAGCACATAGATGTCATTAAGACTCAGTTGTCACTACTTAGTAGCACTGGCGACTTCTCTTGAGTTTTTTTTCTTTTCAAACTGGTTAAAAATATAATCCCCGAACCCAAGACTGAGCACCAGAAAGTTGAGCGATGTATTCCCCAGCTTTTAACATACTACCTTGTGCAAAAAACCCCCTGTGAAGCATTTCAGAAACCAAATAGGTGGGGGCAGGGACACACTGAAAGCACAGAGAAGATTAACACCTGTCTCCAGTCTCAAATGAGAGCAGACTGTGTATATCCAGGGGGAAGCTATTTCCTCCCTCAGCAGTCAAGTTTTGTTCCAAGCTTCAGCTCTGTATGTGCAGCGTCTACATTCTTTGGCTTTGCTTCATTCCAGGTTTCCACCCAGAGTCTGGAAAACAGAGAAGTTATGAATGGTGAACACACAGAGCTACTAATGGCGCACAGAACCAAGGACGCACTGAGGTATTTCTTCATGAATGTAGAATGTCCTATTTACTTAAATTTGGCATTATTCTATTGAATGGATTTTAATTGTTCTGATTTCTTCAGGAAATACCAAGAAAAGTAGAACTGGTTAACGAAGCACATTTCAGCTCAAACTTTGATGATTTATCCCTTTCTCCTGTTTTCTACATATGATAGGAGAACCTTCCTGAAAACTATAGATGTACAAATAACCCCAGAGGCTCTAATACTCTTCCACATCAGGACTTGTTTGTTTCTTTTTCAGTTTTATACATTTTATTACATCACTTTCCCTTTTGTTCTTCTCCTTTTAGCCTCTTCTAAGTCATCTGCTTCCAACTTCACACACACACACACACACACACACACACATATCTATATGTATGTATATAAGACATACATACATATATATGCAGAAATATATAAATACAACTAGCTGAGTCCATTTTTGCTGTGTATATGGTTTCAAGGCTAACTACTCTGTAATGAGCAATCATTGAGGCTCCCATCCCTTGAAGAAGCCAATTCTCTTTTCTCAGTAGTCAAAAGCTGCCTGTAGTTCCTTATCTATTGATATTGCCATTTATTAGTTGTAGTGGGATATTCACTTTGTCTCCTTCTGTGGCACTGACCACACCCATTGGGGGTGGAGCCAGAGGCGGAAGTGACCTGGGGAACTAGGAATGAGGAGGCATGGGAGAGTGCTCTCTTGCTAGCCGCTAGGGGACAGGAGGACATCCAGAGGAATTCTTGGAAGCAGGAACCTGTTGGTGTTCACCTTTCTATGTTGTGAGTTATTTCTCCCTGAATAAACATCTGTTCGGCCTAATTGTTTATCCTGATCCTTATTAAACCGCAATAGTTAGTCTTGTTTTTACAGCCATTTCTAGCAAAGATGGGTTTACAGTAGACTTCTTGATATTCTGGCTCCCACAATCCTTCTGCCTTCTGTCCACTGATACTCCCTGAGTCATAGATGAACTGTTCTGTAGATGCAGACATTGGGCCTGGCTCCCCACAATTAGTTAATCTCTGCATTGTATCCAGCTGTGGCTCTCTGTGACCATCTGCATTTGCTGTAGAGAAACTTCTTTGGTGAGGCAATGGTAGCTAGAATTAGTTGTAGACATAAGAATAAGATCTAGAATGCAGCTATGAATTAGGCTGGTCTAGCAAAGTGGTTGGTAAACTCTCCTCCAAGGTCCATGACATCACTACCCAAGGGGAAGCTGGCTAGGTTTCTAGTGCCAGGCCTGATTTCCCTCCTGGGCAACCAGGAGGTTTAAATTGTTTTTTCTTGTCTTTGCCCTGCAGTTTATAGAGCTCTTCAGCATTCCTTGTGTTTGAGTGGTTTGCTTTGCCTCTAGCTCTATGAGTAACTGCTGTGGGTTGTGTTTATACAATCTTACAGATTTTACTTGATTCCTGTAAGATGAATTTGCTTTACCAACCAGGATTGTTCATATTATTAATGAGAGTAGCTCATCATGTGATGTCAACTATTACTCTTAGTACTGATCTCTACTGCCACAGCCATAGGCACTGCCTGGATACAAACCATATGTCCCTACTAATTCATCTCTCCTTGACTTGGTTTCTTTCCTGTAGATAGAAGTAATAGGATTGGGGCTATAGTTTAGTTGGAAGAGTGTTTGCCTAACACGCATGAAGCTCTGGGTTCAATCAGTCCCCAGGACCACATAACCAGGAGTGGTGGCTCACATTTATAGTCCCTACATTTCACACAACAGCTGGAGTCAGGAGAATCAGAAGTTCTGTTTATCCTCCACTACACAGCTAAGTTCAAGGCTAGCCTCAAGAACAATAAAATAAAACTTCTTTAGAATGATGTTACTAAGACTTTTGCATTACTGTTTTAAACTTTAGTATTTGATAACATATATAAAATACTTTGAACAGTGTTTGGGTCAGAGTGAGTCTTGAATTTGATTCTGTTACTATTATTATTTTCTTTGTTGCAGGTTTATTATCCCTGTACAGAATTTTTGGAGTCAGAATGTACAAGATTCATTTTTAATTTGGAATGTTTATGTAGACAGTATTGGTTGAATATACAAAATACAAAATAAAAAACCAAGATACTGCAAATTCCTAATCTCTTGGAGCAATATTTTAGTGTTCAAAAAGTTTCAGATTTTGAAGCATTTTGGATTTGGAGATTTTTAGACTGGGTCGAATCACCTTGTATCATTTCCATTAATGTCATTATTTTCAGTAAATTGTTTCAATTTGGCATAAGCGAAGTAAATTCAAATTTCTCCAGCAGTAACTTTGGCAATAGAAAGTGATGCTGCCATAGCTGCTCCTCCTTCATTCACTGTATTCTTTCCATTATATCCATTTCCTCACAGGAGTCAGTCAGTCTGCATGAAATCGACTACTTCTGGAAAGGTGATCACCCTTTATCAAGTGACATGTACATTCTCTTCAGCTTTATCATATTCAGCCATATGGCCACAATTCCTGTTCATTTGGAATTTTTATTAATGAGATATATAATGTAAAGCATTCAGTCAAAAGCATTCCCAAGGCACTCACTTTTTAACAATTGCTGTTTGTTCTTATATCTAGTCATAATGGAATGAATGTTCATGTTTTATTGGGCATTAATTTTTTTAAAAAATATTAGCTTTGGCAAATGTTTCCCAGAATCTTAGTGAATTGCTGCATGGACACTCATCACATGGTATCTAGTTGTTTGCTATGTGATTTTTTTTATTTGCTTATTTATTTCTAGTTTTTTAATTCAGAAAAAAATAATTTCTTTCTGGTTACAGATATTTTAGAGAAATATCATAAATGACTTTTAGTATATATATGTTTATTATATAAGCATAATTTTCAAAAGAGGCCCCTTTTGTGTCTTATTGTTGCCTTTGGTAGGTTAAGTAACTACAACTCTAAACAACTAGCACACTGGAGAGCCAATTCGCATCTGCCACTCTGGTCTAGAAACCCACTGATTCAAGCATTGCTTATGCATAACTTCTGAGTCCTTAATTCTATTTCAGGCTACAGAACCTACACAGGGAAGCTTGTGATGACAGGAATAGCTGGAATCTGTTCAAACCAAAGTCAGAATATAGACAGAGTGCAAACTCCCTGTGATTACAGACTAGAGTCAGAGGGTCAGAGTGCCTCAGGAAAAGGGCAGAGCCTGTGGAGCACCTCCATAACTATGCCAGAATGTTGGCTGCTTTGGCCTTGTGTGGATTTGTGCAGGTAACCACACTGTTGTGACTTCATGAGTTCAATAAGTGTAAATTGTTTGTAGAGTCCAAGACAAAATGGCAGACCTGTTACATGGCACAACCATTGTTTTAGCCTTTGTCATGGCTCAGCTAAGCTATTGCAATAACTTACCATCTCCCCTATCCAATGTAAATCTCTTCTTATTCTTTAATGAATCTACACATAAGACAACTGAGTGAAATGTTCTAATCTGCATTAGTTATCAGTTCTTTCAAAGTCTTGAATTAGATAAAGTCTAGGTTTGAACACTCACTTTGTACCTTGCTACTTGTCCATTATTGGACTAATTACTGAACATCTTTAAACTATTTCCATCATATGAAAATGACTTTTATGATCACATAGATTCTGTGAAGATTAATTAAAGTGCATTACAGCCAGCTGACTTAGTACATTGCTAAATGAAAGGCTGAATAATTACTAATTGCTATTGCAAGTGTCCTCGTCATTATTATACATATTATAGTTCATTGTAACTCTGTATTATCCCAAACCAGACTGAATCCTCAAAAGTATTTCTGGCACCCAATACAGGTCTTAGAATATAAAAGGAGAATATTTGTTAAGCGATTGACTTAGTGGATAAAACAAATTGTTGAATTATAAGCATAGCTATGGATTTAAAAGATGCTAAAAGGGTGTTCTCTAATTAGTCTTATAATATGTATATCCTGTAAGTCACCAGTCCTCTGACTTTGATCATAAAATACAATAAAGTGAAGGGCTTCATTTGGGTACTTTGCCTCAAACCCTAAGAGCATCTCTTTCAACAGCAAGCAATATATACAGAAGAACTTCCCTTTGCCTTGATTTCCTAGTCATTTTGGACCTCACCTTGTTGCTCAGCTCCCTTTCCCAAGGTTAACTTCTTTAGATTTGCCTATTTCTCCACCATGTTTTATTTTGCCTTCTTTGTCCATGAAAGCCATCCAAAGGACGATTAATTTGCAAAGCCCAACTCAAATGATCTTGATGTCACCCTGGCATTTTCATGTTTTATTCCTAAGTGTTTATGCCTATATTCCCTAGACAGAAGATTGTTGAAAAATTCACTAATTGGTCTCAAATACCAAACTCTCCCTCATCTTTTATCTTTTTAGTTGTTCCTACATATAACTATCTGGTAATTCCTTTTAAACCACAGCTATTATCACCTATAACTTCATTGCCTTCTTTCTAGAAAATCAATTCTTAACCACACACTGGGACTCTGACTGAGTAGCAGTGCTCATGGTTGCTATTCAAACTCCTTAGCCCTGCCACAACCACCTACTCTGGGATCCTACCCAAGCTGCTGTAGTCTTGACACAGGTTCCAAGTCCCTCCTCCCCCCCCCAAACACTGCCTGTTCTATTGTCTGTCCCAGGACCTGCCTAAGCAAGTACGTATATGGCTGCTGGTGGTAAAGCTCCATCACCCCATCCTATCACCTTCTCTGGACCCTTACTCATGAAGTTGTGCCTGAGCAGTAGTCACATAACATCCCCACTCATGAATCAAACAGTGTCTGGAAGACTGAGAACATATCCTGGTCTATCCAAAACTAGCTGAGGTAGGCTAACAGCAAATCAGAACCAAATTCCCATCCAACAAAGATGAGCTAGAAACTCATATCAAAAGATACAACCAATGACTTAACTCTAGACCCCAGGTTCTAGTGCAAAGATGTCCCCAAAGATCACTAGTCCTATAGCAATGGTTCCAAGGGTGCTTTAGAATGTTAG